CACACACGCACACGACACCCAAAGAAGAGATCAAGAAACTGGACATCGACGCCAATCGCAACCCCAAACCCTGCCCCTAACTGGAAAAAACACGCCCATGCTCCCCTTTCACCTTCATGTCCTGCTTCATCCCGGCGATGTCGTGAGGCTCCCTCACGCCCGCATCGATCAACACTTTCCCTAGAGCGGATTGCTTTCCTCCGAGAGCGTGCACTGCTTCCTGCGCCATGGCGGACGGCGGCACGCATGAAATGGAGGGAGACATGGGGGCAGCAATTGCGGTTTGTGATTGGGGCCATCCACTCGCACCAGACACTGAGATGAGAAAAAACGTGCATGGGTCCCCACCCCACGTGCGTATGCGAAGGTGTGCCGATTCTGGTAAAAAGTCAATCGACGGTTCCCTTGGGATTGGGTTCTTCTTTACCATTTTCCCCCTTTTTTTCTTTTTTTTTTTTTTTTTTTCCTTTTCATTTTTTTTTCCTTTTTTAGCCGGGGGTGGTTCCCTTGTTCCCCCCCCTTCGAAAAAAAATTAAAATGGGGTAGACCCCCGGGGCCCGGGGGGGGGGGGGGCGCTGCCGTTTTGTTTGATCCGCGATAAAAAAAACACCCACTGGTTGACTTTCTTGGTTCCGAAGCTGCTCGATACGCCAATGAAGCAGTACAATGATAAATGCTCCGCCGAATCAACACAGCTGGTAGTTGATTCTGCCATTAAAAAGGAGGCCCCTCTTAGACAATCGGCTTATCTCTCCCTCGCTCACAACAGAACAAATAGGGTCTACTTTGGAACACCGAATCCCAAACGCTTCCCGTCAAAGCCCCACTCGAGTCTCTCGTGCTTCGTGCCCGCGAGTCTCCCCGGTGGTACTGTACGTACATGTACTGCTGTAGTGTTAACCCGCCTTCCAACTCTAACGGGAACCCTCTCCGCACCAAGAGGGGTGTTTTGACGGTTTCGCACACCTCAAACAGTAACAGAGTACCACTATTTTGCTTCAACTCGATGTCAACAACAACCACTTCAAGTTACAACCTAACTGCCGTGTCTACGTGTTCCGTGCCCCAGGAGGAAGGTGAGTTCAAGCATGCATCGGCTCAAACTGATTGCTTCCAGTCGATGTTGGAGCTCTCCGGTTAACAGCAAGTATCTACGTATGGCATACACAGGCTCTTAAGAATAAGAGGATGATAGCCCACCTCCGTGTCGACAGCATTGACGATGACGAAGCCGAAGTCGCGGAACAGGCTGGGGACGTCCAGGCTGCGAATGGAGTGGCCGATCTGTTTTGTTTTCGTCACGTGCGGTTGCGGCGTTTCGTTCCTGTAAATAGGCTTGGGGGTAGTACGAGGACGAGCTATATTTTGAGTACACGTATGTAAGTTGCACTAACCTAAATTTTTCTTGTTTTCTAAATGTAACTACAAGGGCAGCAAGCATCGCATGTTGCTTTTTTTTCTTTCCAGGGTTTTCGGTTTCTGATACATGTGGTGGGCAGAAATACCAAGAAAGACACCATCTAATGTCAAGTTGAAAAAACGAGTCAGGGAAGCGCCCGGGAGGTATATCTGGTCGCCCGGTGGCCGCCCCCCACACGACCGCTTGGCGATAATCTCCCCCCAAGAATTTCCTGGCGTCGTGCGAACCCTCCTTTCGTATTCGTGCCCGCAGACCAGCGGAGCGGCCAGGAAGTTGCGTTGTGAGGGTTTGTCAATGTACTTCGCTCACGTGTCCACGTTGCCAAAAACAGTCGACAACTTCCGCAACACGCCTCGGCGTTCACGCAAACCCGGCTATCAGCACTTCTACCGGCACAGCGTGAACAAATACGCTCAACAAACTGCTGATTTTCTTCCACGACAACATATTTCCTCATCACCTTCAAGACGTCCGGGTTTCCAAACGCATCCCTGAGAAGGCCCATGTTGTCCCACATGCCTTCGGCGAGGGGGTCGACGACGTAGTCCTGAGAGGAGACGACGTCGTCAACACCAAGAGAGATGAAAAAAATAGATATATCCGTTTCGTGAGACACCACCGGCTGCAGGATTGTGACGTTTGTACAATCCGTTGACAAGCTGTTGTGCAGGGGCATATGTACAGAGGAAAATGCCTTTGGGATCGCTCGGCGTGAGGCGTAATGCACCAAACAATGTGCACTCTCGGAAATGATAATAACAAAGTTGGCCCGAAACGCAAAACTGAAAAAGTACGGCCACAAGTGAACTCTGTCAACCAGCGGAACAAGCTACAGCAGTAGTGGACGTGAAATTTCTGGCAGAAGAAGCACCCGCACACACCAAATGGTACGGAAAGCCGATCAGACAGCGTTCCGGTGTTTGCTAACTTGAGTGATGCGTTTTCATTGGTCAACTGGGCAGCGTGGCCGATGTCAACTACAGACCCCCCCCGCCCCAACACACACACGAGTAGGCCATGTCGGGTGTTGTTCTACACATCAACCCCATGAAAAAACACTAAACGGGACGGTTGTCAACCCCGCAGAGACGCACCTTCCATTCCGTGGATATTTGAAGGAGGCACGCCAACCCGTAGTACGTCCGGGCGTTGTGGGCTTCCACATCGAAGCTCCACTCTCGGCAAGCATTCAGGTCCTCAGCAAGGGCGGAGAGCTGCGCGAGCGGAGGGAGGCACGGAAGGTAGCGAGGTTCACTCTCTCTCTCTCTCTCTCTCGTGTGTTGCTGGATGATTTCGCGGTGCCCCGTTTATGGAAGAATATGGAAGGAAAACGGAAAACCGCTGGGGAAGTCTGGGCCCTGGAACGGGCGGCGGGTGCCATAATCTAGTAGGCCAAGGCGGGCCTTGTTCCCGAGGACGCGGGGACGCCCTACACAGCTCTTGGACGTAATTTCCTGGCATAGTCTACAGACAGCGCCAACACTTGGTTTAACCAACAACTTGGCAGTCAAGAACTTGACGTTCAACATTTTATCAAATATACCAAGAACTTGAGCACCATTGGTGAGCCCCGTAAAAAAAAAACTATACTAAAACCTATATAGCCGGCATCTGTAGCCCACAAGAGGAACTAAGAACTCCAGCCTCAGCCAAATTAAAAATTCTTGAGCGCTATCTATATGCTACTATTTACCTTGCTGGTGCGTCGTGGGGTGAAATCGCCCCCCCGTCTAACCTTAAATTAACACACGACTGTCTGTGTGCAACTGACCTTAGCTGGAGTGTCCACGTACTCGTACTCCACATCATGCAGCAGGGGCCACTCCAAGAAGGCTGTCTGGGCCTTTTCCACCTCAAAGTCAAGGGCAGCCGCATAGCCGTAAGCATTGGGGAGGCTGGCTGGCGGCGCGTTGGCTCTGAGCCACTGCTCAAACCCCGGCTCATGCAGCTGAACGCTCGCGTGGAAGCTACACCAGAGAGCAAGGATATCCGCAAACGATTGTTCGGGTAGGTGGGGGGCGGGGGCGGGGCGGAACTGAGCATTCAACTGCAACAGGTGTCGGTCGCTGTTTGACTAATATTTTACCACATGAGAATCGAAGGCATCGCCAGGAATGAATAGGAAAACGCGAGCTTCGAACTCGAATCGTAGTGTGCTCTCCGTCTTCGCGTCGTCTGATGACCGCCAGAACTAGTGTGTTGTTACAGGTGGGATGGTGCCCTGTTCTACGCTATTTGAAATGCCTCCAGACGACCACACTTAACAGAAAAACACACGACAACGAACGTGTTGTAGATATTTGTACGCATGCTTCATCGCCCGTCGGCCTTACACGTCTGTCTGCGACAAGCCTTTCTACTTAGGAGAGGACCGTGCGACGTAGTTGTATCCGGTGGCGTGGTAAGAGTCGGCGGTATAGTCCCGCCGCCTTTTGCTCTAGTTTGCGCCAGCAGCACTTCAATGGTGAAAATAGCTCTACACGTATCGGAAAAAATACTATTTCATGTCCTGGAAAAGGTCACGGTTTCGGCCTCCGAATGAGTACCAATATTCCAAACGTCTCCTGACCGCGACAAGTGGTGGCAGCACCCCACGCTACGCTAAAAGTATCCCATCCCATCATGGTCCGGTCCATCACAACACCTGCGCAAGGCGACCAAATAGGGCTCCGCAATCGCTTCATGACCTGGCTGCATCGCGAACCGTTTCACCACAGGGGCGGCGACGCCGGGCTTGTACCATTTGCTCCCGCCGCGTGTAAGTATCTTCCCCTGAAATACCCCTGACACGAGGGGGTGGGGGTGGGGGGGGTCGGCAGTCGGGACTCGGGTTACACCGGGGAGTGCACTCATCAATCAGGAGATGTCGTCGAGGCTTCACGTGTTCAACGTGTGGCATATGGAAGGTCGTGTTCCCAAATCGACTACAGCCCGGGGCGTCGGAAACACACGCGTTAGTGTTTTCGGGGTGCTCCGAGCGTGTGATCGCAGTGTCTGCCTTACTCACGAGACAACGCAGGTGTGAGCGGAATAAAAAAGTTGCTGTGGGTGCTCCAACCTCCCCCATGTACAAGCAAACAGCTGCTCGCACGGACGGCGCGACCGAGTCGTGGCATCGTTGTCTGCGGCGTGCCAAGTTTTTCATGGTGCTTGCTTTTGCGGTGCTCAAATGGAAACCAACCAATCAGAGCTCTTGGTCTTGCCACCAAGGAAAACACCCACCTGTTCTGGAGACGATGACGTGCCTGTTTGGGTCTGCCCCGCTCGAGGCGTGGAAAAGCGCCAGCTCCATCGCCAATCCGTGGATCTGGCGTCGCTGCTGGGCACTAAGACTGGGCGGAAAGGCTGTTGCGTGTCCGACGTGGGGGGTTGGGACGGGTAGTGTGCTTAGAGGGGGAATACGGAACAGTGCTCTACGCTTGGTCCTGTGCATCGTCGCCATTGGCGAATTGCGCTGCAATACCAAACTTAAACTTCCACCACAGGCGACACCCAATGCCACGTGTCTAAACACTAACCGCTGGTCGGACCGTGCCACCCCCGTGCCACCCCTGACCCTACAGCATGCAACATCATCTTTGCAGCCACAACCCAAACCACCTGCCCCATTGCCGCTCTCACCTATCTCGTCCTGGGACGGGTCGAAGTCAATCTCCTCCATGACCCCACTCTCTTCCGGCGGCCGCGCAAGGCTGCTCCCTCCACCATCAGGATTCGCCGGTACCCTTCCCTCCTTCCAGGCGGCGAGCTTGACCCCGAGCCACTGGTCAAACACCGCCGCGGCCTCTTGCTCAGCTTTAGCCTTTAGCGTGCCCATCCCGCGCTGCCCCGGTGCCCAGCGACGCTTCTTTTTCTTTCCACCGCCTCCCCCTTGCTTCTGCTTCTGCTGCTGCAGCTGGCACGACTTGTTCTTCATCATAGTCTGCGCGATCTTCGCTTCCCGGGCACGATCGCGCCGCTGCTTTCTCAAGGCCTGCTGCTCCTCCCGCGTGACAGGCGCGGCACCCGCAGCCCCTGATAATGCAACACAAACAGCAGGGGTACACGCAGTGCCGACCCGCTCGTAAGAAAAACAAGCAGTAATCAAAATAGATACGTCTATTAGATAGAATCCTAATTCGATGAAGTACGAAAAAATGCATAGCAGTAGACGTGGTCTACAAATATTGTGTTGTCCAACGTGTGGAACTACTTTGTCCGGAAGAAACCGAGGCTCAGATTTTGGACAAACTTCAGAAAAATGCCCTAAGAAATTGAGCATAGAGGCCGGCGCTACATCAATTCCCATATAGGAGCCTTTGCTCAGAGGGATGAAATAAGGATTGAGCCTGGCTCAAAATACTATCTGGTAGGTGTTTCCTGGTTTCTTGTGAGCGGGCCAGCACCGCCGTGGCATTGGTGGTTGCGCCGCATTTTTTGGTGGGGTGTGGTGGTGTGGCGAGGATCCTAGGGCTGCTACGACGCCCACCGCCTCACCTGGAGCGTTTTCGCTTGGTTCGCGTCGGGTGGAGGGGTCCGGATCGCCCCCCTCGGCTTTGCCGCAAGTTGCGCTCCCTGTCGGCACTCCCGGGTGACGTGGGCCGGCGTGTTGTGGCCGATCTGCCCCATCTGTCTCCGAGGCACCGTACACCTGCGGCATGATGTCCCAAGCTCTCTGAATCGATTTTTTCCCAGGTCTGATGGTTTTGATGGAAGCGTGGATGCGTGTGAGGCTTAGTTACGAGGCGCCGTTCCCCCTGGTATCATCTGTAGAACCGGGCATGCCACGACCGGTGCTCTTGGCCTGCCTGGCTCTATCGCTCTCCCCAACCGGGGGCGCCGCGATATCGAAATGAAGAATCGCGGGGTATCCAGAGACGGTATCCAAACCCGAACATTCCCACAAAAAAAAAATCGAATTTGAAATCGCGCCGCGTGTTACCTTCTTGCAACATGACACGTGCTCCACGTACGTATACCTCTTCTCGCAAACACAGCAGCGACACGTGGAAGGCAACCGACAACCGACAACCAACATCCAACACACTCAACTGCTGTGCAAGTCCCCGCCCCACACTTCACATTCCCTCAACCCCACACCCTCACTGCTACGCCAAGAGAACAATGTCTTTTCTACAGGGCATCATTCCGGAGAAGGTGAGCTCTCCTCTGAGCCAAAATTGATACACGCCCGCAGCATCCGTTCTAGGCGGCACTACAATGCCCAACGCTGCTGTTGCCCAGGGTCTTTGAAGAAGCTGACTCTAGCAGACTCTCCTGATACGCAGGAATGTGAGGTTGTTGCTTGTCTTTGCAGCATGAAGATGGTTGCACGTTGGCGCCCCAGTCTCAACGCGAATGTTCTCGAACTTTCGAGTATCTCCGTCAGACGTGCTACCAGGAGCATCCGGCGAGGTGCAAGCGGCTCATGTTTGCAGTTGAAGCTCATCTGCGACAGCCTAGCCGACTGACCCAACTCGTGGGCGAGCCGTTGTGCCCGGCCACTTGTTCCCCGGTCCTGCCCAACAAACCATTTCGAAATTCAAATACAAATTATACTTGATGTTTTTGTACCGCCTTTGCCCCCCTTTTTCCACCAGCCCGTTCAGCGTGCCGTCAGCGTCACTGCGCTTGCTATAGCCGGCTGTGGAGGGTTGTACTTCGCCGCAGAGAGCGGAGCCCTTGTCAGCTGGAGCCTGCCTTACGTCAAACCATGGCAGGTGAGCCCCTGCAAAGCCTGTGCTAGTAGTGTTGCGGCGACAGCAGTATAGGCTAGAGTACGATACCTGCACTTCAGGACATCACCCATGGTGTATACCAGGTACACGCTAAGTACCAAGAAACTCAAGAATGCAGCAGCACTATTGTTTTCGCCAGCAGCAGCGGTGTATGTAGATGGTTATGACGCAGGGCAAGCGGTTGACCGGAGGAGGTGCGGGCGCACGCGGGGGGGCGGTTGATTGTGGACCTGGGAGTGAAGATATACGGACAGCTGCTGCAATTTCTTTGTAGCTTTCCCCGAGGCAGACTAACAATGGTTACCCGCCCAACGCTGCTGTGTCCAAGTGGCCTGTTTCAGGTGCCCCAAGCGAAGAAGTTTCGAAACCATGATTTTATAATAACGATACCCTACACCATGGTTAGATGCGTAGCAAGAGCCTTCGCGCCAGCTGGAGAGTCGTATTACGCATCTGCCTGGATGCTCGGTGTGGGGTCGACAAGCTGTGCGGTGGGCCCCAACCGCGTGGGTCCATGGTCCATGGCACGCGCTGCAGGATCTACCAGCATCTATCTTTGTGTCTACCCCTTCGCTAGAGAGGACGCTTTTGTCTCTGCCCAGTGCAGCAGTGCTTCCATCGCATACACAAAAATCATTGCCTTACCGGCGAGAGACGAAATCGTTACATCGCTGTCGTTGACAACGACCGAAGCCGGCAAGATCCTGCTTTTGTTTTGGGTCCTCTCCTGCTTGCCTTTGCTCGACATCGGACGCTCCAACCATTGTGCCCCCCCATCCTTTTTCTCAGCCAAAACTAGATTCATTCGCTGTCCTCGCCCCTCTTTCTTTAGAAGATAAACAAACACAGAGAGACTATCCATTATTTTTGTGTCCTACCGCTGACCCAAGCTGTCACCCTCAAATCAAAAACGACCCAGGTCTTGACCCTCACCTCCTGGGCCATCAACACCGCGGCCGTCTCTGCCGGCGGGAGACTGGATGGCCCGGAGCCAGAGGACCCCAAGGACGCGAAGCTTCCTCTGGTTCGCTACTTCATGCCGGCGGGGTGGGCGTTCTCAATCTGGGGGCCCATCTTCCTAGGTGTGTGAGCGGAGGAGGCAGTCGTCGGACCCCGCACAGCAGTGTTTTGTGTTCGGTTGTGCAGATGTTTTTTTATTTTTTTTTTATGGTCACTGTGTGCAAGGCGCGCGTGAAGCGTTTGATCCACTACTGTCTCCCTTTGTTGTGCTGATGTTATGCCATGGAAATCATTCCATGGTTAACCGCCTCTCCCTCGGATGAGGTCCGAACATCTTCGGTTTGGGCGGTGCCTTGGCTCGCAATGCTTGCCGCAATTGCTTCTCAGATATTTGAAGAGTGTTTCCTGAAAGTTGATATTGCAAGCTATGGGGCACCGATGTCGAAGCGAGGGTCCTGTTCGTTTTTGTTTACTGATGAATTCGATTCATTACGTTTATTGTTGTCGAAGTCCTTGACGTAGTTCACGTTGAAAGTGTGCCAATACTAAACGTCCAAGTGTGGGTCTGCTGGATCCCACTCGAGCTTTTTGAGTCTCTATGTTTCATTTTTTGATGCATGGACGCTGAAAATGTATCAATCCATGTCGGTGTATGTATAGTGCAACCGCCCCACCCCCCCACCCCCATTTCCTTCTTTCTGTTCATGTCAGGCGAAGCTGCCCTGGCGGTGTACCAGACGCTGCCGCTAGAGGGCGTTAGCGCCGCGGCCGGGTGGCTCAGCAAGCTCAGCCCCTGGCTTTCATCGGCCTTCCTGGTTCAGGTACACACTACAAACTTTTCACGCTGTGAGGGCTAATAATAGCATTCGACGTATGATCGTCCTGCGGTGTGTGCAGCACTGGCACGGCAAGCATCGTCCATGAGTCTCATTGGTTGGATCGATGGGGTGCCAGGAGGTGAAGAAGCTAGCCGTATGCCTTCCTGCCTTAGCTACTTTGGCGAAACTAGTGTTGCGTGCAGATTGGTTGATGACCGCGTGCCGATGACCTCTTTTTTCTCTCTTCTCGTTGCGACCTAAGATGCCATCGTGTCGGGTTGTGATGAGAGAAGTTGTTCGTCGAGCGGTCCGCCTTGTTTGTGGTGGTGTTTATTTTTCGTTGCTGACATGAGTGCGTTGTGTGGCCGTGCGGCTGATTGTTTCATGATCGCTCTCTGCTTTTGGTCCGGGTGGTCAAACACTCTGGAGAAATGACGCAACTATTTTTCGACCAAATGGTGGTGCTGCTGGTCTGTTATTTTGAAGAGGAGGTGTCACTTTTGATCGTAGGTCGAAACAGGAGACGGTTGTTATCTCTGTCGAGCATCATTCGGTGTATTCGGAAAACCCGCGTGTTACCATCCCACAAAATCTAGCACAACCTCGAGAGGTCGAAATGCTTGCCGTACTAACTGGCTATATCCCCCCGCCACGGGAACGTGTCCACCTATTATTGGCAACCTCCCGTCCCCGCCGTCCTCTAGGGCCGAGGTCGTTGCGTATAGTATCGTGTGCAAGTATTAAACAGAACCCCGAGAAACCTATGAAATTGTCGCCCCGCGAAGCTCATCCCCACATGTAAACGCCTTCTTTGGAAAACCCACAGTCCTGCTGGTGCCTCTCCTTCCGGGAGTGGGCGAGAGACTCGGGTCTCCTCTGGTTCCCGGCTGCGCTGTTGGGGGGCACCGCGGCATGCCTGGGAGGGGCCCACCACGTCGTCAGGGGCGCTCTGGCGGCAGGCGAAATGTCGAACCTCCAGTACGGCTTGGTGCACCTTCCCGTCAGGTATATCCTCGTGTGGTTAGCAAAGCTACGGGTTTTAACCCTTTGATGCGGATGCTCGGTAGAGAGCACAGGGAGTGACCACGGAATTTTGCTTGAGGCGCAGGTCACATGTGTTTGGTGGAAATGACAGAGAACAAAGACCCCTGCAGGGTGTGTTCCCAATCCCTGAAACTCTATCCAAACTCTATCACCTTGTTCAATGGTTTTTGAAGCAGCCGAAGCCACGGGTGCTAGCCTTACGCTTGACACAGTTCCGCATACGGAAAATTACACCACCGCTTGCCGCCGCTCGCCAACCGGCCTCACTCACCCCCCCCCCCCCCCCGGTCGCATCTGCCACGCCCCCCCCGAAACCGACGACAATCTCGCTGCTCTTCTCAGCCTTCACTTCGGGTGGGTGTCTTGCGCGACCCTGGTGAACTTCAACAACTACATCTCGCTGCTGCCCTTCTCCGACAAGGGCAAGCTGAACTTCTCGCTGGCGTCCATCGCATCCGCGGTCGGCCTGGCGGTCGCCGTTACCGGGACCACCGGAGACCCGGTCTACGCCGGCGTGGTCGCTTGGGCTCTGTCGGCCGTGGCCAGCGAGAAGGGCTGGGCCAAGATGAAGGTGGGAGGAACGGCATGTGTGTGCTGGCTGCTGCTGGTGGTTGTCTTCGAGGGACGTTCTTTTTTTCTTTACCCGTACATGTGTGGCCGCGGGTTGGAGCTCCTACCCGTATATGTGAAAAACGCCGATTTAAAAGCGATAACACAAAACCACAGTGTGTTCACGGAATTGCCCCTCTCTCCTTGCCGGTTGGGTCGGTCAGTGCGGGATGATAACGGTATTCCGGGAAATAGCGGACGTTTTTTTCGGAAATTCTTGAGGTGGTATCTGGGAAGGATAGGCAGAAGATGATGACGACGGTTGGCAAGTGTGACGAAGAAGCAACATCACCATGGAAGCGCGCCCTCTTACGCCCCCCCCCCCCCCCCCCCCCCCCCCTATTCCCCCCCCCCCCTTTGGGGGAACCCCCAGGGGACACCCCCCCCCCCCCCCC